CATTGGACGGGAACATCTACGAACGATATGGAAATATACTCACGATCCGATTTCGACCGATCTAGGGACCGGCCAGGTATCCTATTTTGCACGTACACACCGCAAAACCCTTATATTAAGCAAATATATAATTATTTTGGCCGGTAAAACAGGACGGTCCGGCATCCTCTTAAGGTACTAATTTAAAAAACAGTTCACTAGCATTCGAAACGCGTGGTTTGAATCGTGTATCTCGAGAAACCCCATGACACAGTTTCGAATCGAAATTGTTTTGACGGTCGCGTTGTAGTATAGTATAGCCATTGGACGGGAACATCTACGAACGATATGGAAATATACTCACGATCCGATTTCGACCGATCTAGGGACCGGCCAGACCGTGGGGGCGCCGATTTGCATTTTATCGGCGGTAGATCGGCCGCAAAAGTGGAACGGCTGGGTTTTTTAGCCGAGCCAGAGCGAAACAGAGTGTGAATAAATTCCGAGCTCGCGTTTTCCCGGCCGGCCGACGTGCCACTTTGGCCTTAATTGCGTCGTGAATGGGCGGGCGGGATAAACGCGCGCGGCGATCGCGCCCTGATAACGCGTATCGTCGAGATGTCATCCCACATAGCACGCGAGTTTCTAGAATCGAGACGTGTTAGAGACACATCCGAGGAAAGTTGCATCGAATAGTGGTTAGGAAAATGTAATTTGATATCCTGAACAAAATATAAATTTTTATACGAAAATCCGTAAGCATACGTTGTCGTTGTTAAAATTTATTAAACTGTTATATGGAAAAGAATAATTTGTATTAAAATATATTTTGCATCATATATCGCATATTTGCAAAATTTTCCCGTGACGTTAAATATACAACATATATAATTCTTATTGTTAGATTAATTTTGAAAAAATAAATTACGTATGAAAATATGTCTCGTAAAATATGATAAGATTTTATGGTAAGATTTTATATTAACAGAATATATTATTTACATTTCAAAAACCCTGACGATATTCGCGCGTGCGCGCTTTTCAAGATATGCTATTACAATCTTTTATAAGTATCTCTAATGAGCGAAATATAATCGCATTAAATTCTATCATAAAAAATAATATGAAGATAAGAAAACAATATAAAATAAACTCGAAAACCTTTAAAATCTCCCATAGATTTTAGCGATTATATTTTACAAAACAAGTTTTACTGATACAATAAATTAAGTAATTAAATTTGATAACGACGAAAGTGATAACTAGAAATAACTAGATACTAATGAAGGGATGGATGCTAAAGACACCGTTAATATCAAAGAAATGAATAGCACCACTGAATGCACCGCTATTTCTGAAACCTTATATAAAATCACGTTGGAGTCGAAAATAAACTCAAGAGCAAGGCACGATGCTTTAAAGCGGAGAATCACTTCGTTAAGACAAATTATACGTGAATCAGGGGGATAATCGTCTATTTTCCGCGATCTTCGAGCACAGCGAGAGAGGAAGAAACGAGCGAGAAAGCTAAAAATGTCGCGCATGCTACGGCACTGGAGAACGGACCTCCTGCACCATCGGAGCAGCTCATCGCGAGACGGAGGGGACCTAATGGGTCCCTTCCCTTTTCTCCGTCTCGCTTCGTTCGTCACTTGCTTCGATCATCCTTCTCCTTCTCCTCCCCCCTGCCCGTCCCAGCCTCCTCGTCCGTTACGGGTTACTCTCTCACGCGATACCACCGGCGATACCACCGGCGGCCGCGTTACATGTACACCTACATCCGACGCTGGAGGTAGTGAGACGGACCCCGGAGATGGTTGGCTCCGAGGACGTTGGTCCAGGGACTCTCGCGTTTCATAACATGTAACTTCTACTTCTTTTAATTAATGCTAATTGCACGACGGATGACTTTGTTTCCATCCCGATATCCTTATGCGTGTCGTGTCTTTGCAGAATCTTGTAAATGTATTTCTTTTTACTTTGTATTCGCGTTTTTTTTTTTTTCTTTTTTTTTTCCAAGAAATATTACGCCGATGTCATAGAAGAAAATCGGACCCGATTGATAAGATGCTCTTTGTCCTACGCTAATTTTAGAAAGTTTACGTTTATCGCAGATCGCCACTGCATTCGCATCGATGCGAGTAATACGCTTTCGAAATGAACGCATTCGCGGATAATTAACACCTGCACTTAATATGATGTAAAACGAAGAAACGATATGTGACGGATACCGTGAAGTATAACGTGAATCTCGTTATTTCATTGTAGCGAAATCGGCTTACATAAACTTAAGCAATCTCGGACAAATATATTTAATTACGACTCGCTAGATGCATCTAACATCTTGTATATAAATGAATGGTGCTCTTAATCTCATTGTATCCATTTTATCGAATCCTATAGGAATCATGCTTTATATCGATGATAATAATAATTGATAATAAAGTGAGAAATATTATTTAAAATATCGCAATATAAAGCTGTATAATAATTTCTTAACATTTTGATAACTTAATCATATAAATCAGATAGAATCTTTTTAGAATTAATTTTTTTATTTTTTTCAGTATTTCAAGCGATCAAGAAATATTTGTCGTGAATCTGAAAAAAAAAAAAATATGGAAGAGCAACATCCGAGAAGAAATTTCAGTGCCTCGGCGACGTTAGAAAGTACGCGACCGCGACTTTCCGTAAAACTTAGAATCGATAATCGCTTTTTCCCCAGATCCCCCGCTCTTTTACGTAACATGCCGAGCGCGTTGAACGCTCCGCGTTTTTCCTATCGGACCGAGAGAACTCGCACAACATCAGCATGATCAGTATGCTAAGAGACCGCGTTGAACCCTCGTCATCTACGACCGCGGGTCCTCCTTACATTTACCTCTTCTCTGTTGCCTCTCTCACGTTTCCTTCAACATACACACATACACACACGCTCACCCATCCATTTACTCGCTCACCCACTCGCTGACTCATACATTCGCTCATTCACGCACACATGCAACAAGCATGCATGTATATTCGTTGACTACCTGACGAGAACTCGAGCTCGGCCAGTCACGTGGCCACGCTGATCGCGAAGGATGTTTGTGGGATCGCAAAGTCAGTCCGCAGCGGACAGCCTGTCGAGAAAGAGAGGATAGAGGCGGCGCGATCGGATGGAAGAGAAGGAGGAACAGAACGGAGAAGGAGATACTGGATCGGGGATATTGCCTAAGGTCTTCGTCTTTGCTCTAGCTCTACCTGTCCGAAGGCGTTCGGAGCGCCTTGTTTCGGCTCGTTCTTTGTGATTTCGCGAAATATATACCTCGGCAAAGTGTTGGCGCGATCGAGAGCGGGAAAAATCTTCGTCGACGAGATAAAAAGAGGAATCCCCGGTATTTGGAACATGTGAATGAAGGAAACTCCTCCCACGACGTTTTAGAAAATTATTATAAGGAAATGTTCATGCCGGAGGCGAAGAATTAATGATTCTGTTGTGTATTAGAAAGTGAGGATCGCGTGGTATTTTCGATGCACTGAAACGTGGAAGACGCAATGTGACGCAGAGCGAGACTCGGAAGTGAAGATGCGGATGAGATCGAAGACGAAGTGATCATCGAGTGTTGCCGCTTTGCAACGCTGACGAAGTTTTATTCGCCAAATTTCCTTCTTCGTCGAACTTTCGAGTGAATTTTTAAACAGAGGATTCAGGAAGGAAATATAAATATAACAAAGGTATACGATAAGGGATTCGGAATATCACGCAAGGCTTCTGCAAGTTCATGATAGCGACCGATCGCGAACATTTGGTACGCGCTGCGGATGCGGTATGCGGTAGAAAGTTTATTCGCGAAACGCGATAAACCAGATTGCGTTCGTTCGTAAAGAGCAGTGAGACTATTGGAGAATCTATTTGTGTACATTCTTCATAAAAAGAAAGCACGAACGATCGAGATAGAAAGCCGAGTATCGAGACCGTAACAACATCTCGAAGATCAGCGGGAATGAAACTCGAGCTAAATAAATCTCTGATGAAAAATCGAACTCTTCTCTAGCTAAAATTAATTAACCAACACGAGGATATTTAACGGCGTAGTATGTAAAATTACTCTAGTAATTTCGCAAGATGACACATCACAATTCGTTCGCGAAGGAATGAAGAATTTAAGAAATTAAAACCGTGCATGTGAAAGAATTAACGAGCCAACTACGTTCATGATTTTCACGGAATTGTATGCAAAATCTCATCGGTGATATCGTGGGGCATCGGCACGATCGCGACCCGCTTACGAATAAAGAGGACGACGTGGACTCGAGGGGAGAGAAACGAAAGAGAAGAGACGAAAAAGAAGGAAACGGTGAATCGACGGGTACGCGCGGCAAGATTGCGGCGATTTCGCTGGCGCAATAGTGTAAAAGCGTGTAGCGACGTTGCACAACACTCCTGTCATTTCTGATCCGCATTCAGCGTACATGCTCGTTCATGCGTTTTAAGCGAATGGAAATTCTCACACAAACACGTCGCGATACGTAGCTTTGTAAACGATATCGTTAGTTATATCGCATTTTAAAAGAAATATCGACGTTTTATCTATTCACAATCGCGATCGCAGATTCTAAAAACGAAATACTATTGTCACAAATATTGAATCGATTTCTCTGTCAGAAATTTATTTATTTTTCTATTTTGAAAGAGATGGTGATATTGTGCGATTCATGGTATCATTAGTGGAAAAAGCACATCTTTTATGAAGCACTCTTTTAAAAGCTTTGCTTATCGCGAGTTTATTTCATATTTCTCACATTCATAACTGATACCCGCGCGATAAGAATGATGATAAACGTATCGTTTTTTATCTTGGAAATATTTTACCGGAACGCAGTTTTCACCGTGCCAGGTGAAGATGCCACACGTTACCACTGACATTTAGTGGAGTGATAGTACGCATATTTTTATGAAATTGCTTCGGGGAAGTAGGCAATTAGTTGGTTCGAGAATAGATATAATTAGCAATAGTGGAACTATCTTCTATTAAATCTTATATATTATGAAGTCATTTTATAACGACACATTTCACACTTTGAGAAATGCTGCGCATATATTTTTGTAGCATAACATTTTGAAAGCTGATATTACGGATGACGTAAAACCAACGGAACGCAGTTAATCGACGTTAAAATATTTTCTATCGAAGAATTTCACTTCGAACATGACGTTGACGTTTTGTATTTCGAGGTGCTAGATATATTTTCGCACAAATAAGCGCGTCGTCATCGAGAAATGAGCGGTTAGGCGATCCGAAAAACGTGCGGAATGCAGTTGGCAACCAGTCAGAGGCCTCACCCGCCTCCGGTGCCACCTCGGCCGAGTCGGCAGGTGGTTGCCGAGGCCCTTAAGAGGTCGCCAAGGCCGCCCTGTCCTACTAGACAGGCACCGCCGCCGCCAAACACGAAGCCCTGGAGATCCAATCAACAACAAACGCAACAGCAGCAACAGGTGGATCCATCACCGGCTGGACGCACGATCGTATATGAGTCCATCAAAGAGGATTGCAAGGACGAAAACGCGCCCGACGATATGCGAGATCGCAAGCAAGCGCGAAACGCGATCGACAGGAATGC